ATTGCGTTTTTTTCGAAAACTGAATTTGTTTGTAACTATGACCAAGTTCTAACAAGACTGCGATTAGCGAGAACAGTACGCTCATTAAGAAAATACTAAAATCTGGACTGGAATCTATTCTAATCATGGTGCTCTCTGTTCAATGTTTCGGTCCTTCTCAAACTGAGCGGAAATAGCTTAAGTGATACTTTAACGTTATGCGAACTAGATGGATGCCTACCACGTGTCATCACTAGTTCTTAGGTGCTGTGACAACCGTTACCGAGGAAGTATTGCACCAGAATGATTAATGCGTCAACCGGTAAACAATACATTTAAGGTTCTATAGTAAGTTCGGCCGCACAACTGTACCGGAAGCATGCATTCGAGGATGAAATCAGTATAGGAATGTACTGCTAAAATGAATGAAAGGGATCCGTCCATTCTTCTGATTAGGTGGCAGCGATCAAACTGACCGAGTTTAACTTCAAAGTGAAGTGGCGCTATAATCGAGGTAGCACGTCACAGTCTTCCTCATACCGAATACTCCATTCTAACACTTTTATCTTTCAATAGAGAAATCCTATTTACTCGGTTGGTTTTCTCAGACTAGAATAGGTGTTCACCACATCTGGATTCAGTCAGACATTAATCATATACCCGAAAAACCCAGTAAACCTGCTTCATCAAGTCGGGAGTCGTTGTTTGTGCACATTCCATCTGGAACCTAGGGGGTTTGAAATCGCAAATACCTTGTGACCATTCCGTGGTGAGGACTGCTGGGCCACGAGGGATGGTAACGACTGACGTGACTAAGTTACTACATTTGATATAACGCCGCTCATTATCCCGTAGCCCGCGGAATGGTAACAGGCGGTTGCGGGTTCTAGCCTCACAGAGGCCAGATGGAATGTGCGGAACTGGTGAATCCCGAAAGAATGAAGCGGTCATCCAGTGCTTTCTCGGGAATGTGATGGCTCTCTAAGTGAGTCTAGATGTAACTTACTTATACCCACCACTCTGTAATTGCTTGCACTTTTTACTTGCTGACCCATTGATCCACCTAGTCAACTTTTATAATTCTTGTTCCCTGATGTATAGGCAGGCGCCGCATAATAAGTTAGTTTGTAGCTGTTAATGGACGTTTTTCCAAGTGTGTGTGATGGTGATGCTTTTGATCAGAGTATGTTCAAGACATCTAACAATCTAGGCCATCTTGCGCTCACAAAACTCACTGTTGATACAGATGCCGTTGGAACAGGTGCCAATTGCATAAATGTGCTCAAGAGATTTGTTTGTTCAGTACTCAAGTGAAGAATATAGTAATTGAAATCCACAAAGTCCTTGACCTCATCTTTAGTGAGCGTTATGTCCATTCTTCGTTTCAATGAAAGCCGACGCCCTTTCATTGCGTTAGGTATCGTTCGGTCACTCTAATGAACGTCATATTCCCCGGTGGTGTAGCGATTGTTTGTATAGTGTCTTGCCAACAACAGACTAGTACCCTTAAGAATAAGGAAACCATACAGCCTGATGCTACGGTCTTCTAATGCCGGCCCACCAGTGGTTGAATTGGAATTTCCTAGTCTATTTACTACAATCTTTTCGCTTCTGCAGCTAATCTAACAAAGTGTAGTCCTAGTTTCGTGAGCTAACACCACCCTACCATTCCGGCCCAGTTTACATGTAGACAACTAGCGGCTGCGCTCCATAAGTGTGAAATGAACCGTACTGAGGCAATTAAGGAACTCAACCTGACCGTAGATTTACGCAAATCCGGAAAGTAATTTGGGAAATACCAAGTAAGGAACAGAATAAAGTTGGCACATATGCCTCTGCAAAGTCCGCAACGCATTTTGCGAAGGGGCACAGCCAATGTGCGCTGACCTTTCAGTTCGAAAGTGAATCAGCAAATGGTGTGGCTTTTCCACTTACTTTGAAGGACCATTAGCAAACGTATGATCCTTGCTGTATTCGTACATGGCCGGTGGCAAATAAACCCTTTGGGGCTGTACTGCGCGCTTCTATATCAAGTGCATGGACAATCCGACTGCAGCTGTGATTTACCAGTTCATGATGATTTAATGTGCTATGATAACGATAATAGTGCATGGTGCAATTTGGCCGTCCGAATAACCTCAGGGGTGGTAGGTTACTTGCTCTAACCTGGTGGTGGTTTGTGTGAAAGGGACAGCGCCCAGCTTTGCGTGCGATCACAATGGGTGCACAACCGGAGTGCGCTGTGGGCATGGTAATTTGAAAGAAAAGCAAACAATAAAATGCAGTTTAATGGTGGATGTTTGTGAGTAGTGTAAATTTCGAAGAAAGTAGAAGCCACGATTAAAATTCACGCACAATAATATGCCTCGACGGGGAGTCGAACCCCGGTCCACGAATTTCCGGTCCGTTGCTCTACCACCTGAGCTACCGAGGGCTGACGATTAGGTGCGCAAATTTTAACACATGTCTTCTGCTTGGTGCGCGACGTGTTGCCAATAAGCTCACAGTACCTGTCCTGATGTTGCAGATTGGCTTACTCACCCGTCACTTCCCAATAGACCGAAGTTCCTGTCCTTCAGACGTCCAATGGGCGATAGTAGATTAATGGTGGATGTTTGTGAGTAGTGTAAATTTCGAAGAAAGTAGAAGCCACGATTAAAATTCACGCACAATAATATGCCTCGACGGGGAGTCGAACCCCGGTCCACGAATTTCCGGTCCGTTGCTCTACCACCTGAGCTACCGAGGGCTGACGATTAGGTGCGCAAATTTTAACACATGTCTTCTGCTTGGTGCGCGACGTGTTGTCAATAAGCTCACAGTACCTGTCCTGATGTTGCAGATTGGCTCACTCACCCGTCACTTCCCAATAGACCGAAGTTCCTGTCCTTCAGACGTCCAATGGGCGATGGTAGATTAATGGTGGAGGTTTGTGAGTAGTGTGAAGTTCGAAGAAAGTAGAAGCCACGATTAAAATTCACGCACAATAATATGCCTCGACGGGGAGTCGAACCCCGGTCCACGAATTTCCGGTCCGTTGCTCTACCACCTGAGCTACCGAGGGCTGACGATTAGGTGCGCAAATTTTAACACATGTCTTCTGCTTGGTGCGCGACGTGTTGCCAATAAGCTCACAGTACCTGTCCTGATGTTGCAGATTGGCTTACTCACCCGTCACTTCCCAATAGACCGAAGTTCCTGTCCTTCAGACGTCCAATGGGCGATAGTAGATTAATGGTGGATGTTTGTGAGTAGTGTAAATTTCGAAGAAAGTAGAAGCCACGATTAAAATTCACGCACAATAATATGCCTCGACGGGGAGTCGAACCCCGGTCCACGAATTTCCGGTCCGTTGCTCTACCACCTGAGCTACAGAGGGCTGACGATTAGGTGCGCAAATTTTAACACATGTCTTCTGCTTGGTGCGCGACGTGTTGTCAATAAGCTCACAGTACCTGTCCTGATGTTGCAGATTGGCTCACTCACCCGTCACTTCCCAATAGACCGAAGTTCCTGTCCTTCAGACGTCCAATGGGCGATGGTAGATTAATGGTGGATGTTTGTGAGTAGTGTGAAGTTCGAAGAAAGTAGAAGCCACGATTAAAATTTGCGCACCTAATCGTCAGCCCTCGGTAGCTCAGGTGGTAGAGCAACGGACCGGAAATTCGTGGACCGGGGTTCGACTCCCCGTCGAGGCATATTATTGTGCGTGAATTTTAATCGTGGCTTCTACTTTCTTCGAAATAAAATGCAGTGTTCGGAGTGGGTACCCCATCCACTGCACCCCAAAATGAAGAAATGCTCCCGCACCCGTAGACCGTATATGGGCAAGCATCGCACAGCAGTACGCTGAACGCAGTCTGTAGCATCCAAACCCCAGTGGTATAAATGACCAGCATAAGCCAATATCGTACAGCCGCAGCTGACGTGAATCATGTTGCTGAAGGGTGTCGACCTTCAGTAGCTGTGTTTCCGTATATAAATAAAGAAATAACCGGTATATGCATCGACCGTGCGAAGCACAGTCCAACTGTGTTGTCTGGCCAATTTTTACAACAAGATACAATCATATACATAATGGTCCACATTTGATGCATTGAATGCCTAAGGGATTTTTGATGTGCCTGTCAGTTTCAAGGCATTAGAGAGATTAAGCAACTGGGAACAACAACTAGTGCAGATGTAACCAGATTCCCAGCTAAAGTAATACAGCCATCCATGGAACCATATTCATCCGCTAAGAATTATCGGGAGCGCTGCCAACAATTCCGGCTTCATCCGCTTTGGCTACCAAGATTGTGGCACAGCCTGAGGTTTCTGTACAAGAGGATTTATTAAAAGGCAGACTGCCACTTGCCCTCTCTAGAACTATTTGTTTATTTGCACATAACGGGATACTGGTTTTATTTATGGACGTTTCCCTAGAATTACCACATATTTCGACAAGGAAGCTACGGAATCAGAAGTTTACCCTAAGTGTAATTGCAGGGTAAATCTACGGTCTAACTTTTTCCTTATCAGATATGTTATCCTGTAGAATAATCTTCCAGACAAAATCAGATCATATGAGAGCGCAACGGCCTTTCGCGTCAAGCTCACTACTTAGCTAGATGTGAACACGATTATGACGCTGTTCTCTTGGGAGAGTTCACTTGCTGATTTGTACCAAAAAGGGCCAGACAACATCTGAGTGAAAGAAGAATTTTCATACTGTGTGAAACACCCCTAGTTCTGTTACAATTCACTATTTCAACTAGTGCACAGTGCTTCAAAACACACCTGTGAGTTAATGAAAACCGTTGAAACAGCAAGCGCTTGGAATATCACATAAATGTTTACCATTCATGCATGAGCATGGAATATTCTGTGGAATATTATCGGTGTCAAAAATGGCCCCAGTTTCTCCCTCGATGAGAAATATACTTATCATTATCATTTTATATGTATTATCCCGTGCGTTATGATAAGGTTAACTCTCATTCGACGATAAGATAAGGTGTACAACCCGAAATCGTTCACGC